AGGCTTGGCACTTATTGGGTACCGCTGTGGTGTACTCATACTATGCTTCTGTACATCTTTTTGTGCAGATCCAGGTACTTCTTACCAGCCCAGATATCAGTGAACTACCTGTGTGCGAAGACTTCAAGGTACATATGCCAGCGTCTGCAGACCTCGAAGTCCCACTCTATCCTTATCATGTTGTTTTCCTTATTTTAGTAGACTCTGATATATAGAGCCATTAGTATTTTTCTTAGATGCTTGTGACTTGTTTCTGAGAGATTGTAATTTTTTGACTTGCAGTTTTCATTTATTACAACTATTGAGGTTTGAGTTTCAGACTCTTATTATGTTATTACGTAATTTGTTAGACTTACCTAATTTTAAAGAGTAGGTGCCATCACGACATCCTACATAGGGTGAATTGGGATTGTGACAACTATTTAGGTTAATTAATCTAGAAAATTGGCCATTAGTGGCCCAAGCTTACTTCAGCAAAGCCCGGGTCAAACTTTTGTACTCATAGACACGTCCACAAAAGTGTAGTTAAATATAATATTTGTGTATGACATTACTAAATTATTTAAAATTTGTTAGCCTCACTGTTAGATCTCCACGGTTTACCTACATTAAGCTGGTCAAAATGATATTTTTATGTATGCGTGCCGAGCTATCTACACATATACGCCAGTAAGTATTACCTTTCCATTGCATTATCACTAAGGTAAAGATATTTTGTTCACTCCTATACACCGCAAAAGATGGACTACACCGGAGCTAAAAATGGATTAACTACTAAATGGTAGGTTGGAATTTTTAATAAAAAATATGATATGGCATTATATTTAATTAAAAAATCTGATAATAATGTCACATAATTTAAATAGACCATATCTAAGTTAGACTCATTTCTTTTTCAGCCCGATTTGACATATAATCAAAATGGATTATTAATATTTGACCAATTAGCTGGACTAGCACTTTGATTTTGTGGTTAATTTGTAGAAAAAGAAGTCTAAGAAATTTAAGAAAAATTAGGTCTTTTGAATTTATCTTTAGGATTTTGTAGTACATTTACGGTCAATGACACAATACATTGTCTCTTTCTTTTGTCTACGATTGTGGTGTATATTGACAATTTCTACTATGCAATTTCATTGTATGTGTTTCTTACTGAGCGGTATTTTTGTCTGTTAGTATTGCTTAATAAGCAATGTTTTGACCTTAATGGAATAGTAATTTGTGAAAATAAGTTCTTATTAACTTGTTGTTCTTATATGTTAGTGGTACATTTAATTGTTATGTGAGATTGATATGGTAATATTTTAACATTGAAAAATTATAAAATGATACGAAGGATGCAAAAACTGATTCTGTGCTAGTTCTGTTCATATTTTTAATGAAATTATAGATGGTGGTATTAAGGTTATTACGTAACAAATTAAGTAAAATATTTTTAGCACAAAATAATTGTTCTCTTCTTTTCCTTCTAATTGTCAAAATATTAAAACTCATTTGGTTTATAGGTCAAATCGGGTTGAAGAAGAAATGAGTCTAACTTAGATATGGTCTATTTAAGCTTATGTGGCATTATTGTTAGATTTTTTAATTAAATGTAATGCCATATCATTTTTTTATTGGATATTTTGTAGGTTTTGAACTAGAATGACTTTTAAGTTACAAAGGTAAAGTTGAGTGACTTTTAAGTGATGAAAAATAGTTAAGTGACTTTTGTGAAATAAATGATAAGTTGGATGACCATCAGTGAAATTAACCCTATGTCTGTTTAGGAATCTGTTACTAATTACATAAGATTCAAATAATTGGTAAGACTAATTTAAGGCTAATATTGTCACCACTAGCTTTATACAGTTGATGGGATTCAATAGATCTTTCTTCAACTCCTATCCGCTTGAAATGCATCTAGATTCCAAATTTGAATTAAATTATACAAAATTATTTCATGATAACAAGAGCCAAGTACCTCTTATTATCAACTCTACATTGAATTACTGCTGCAAATGGAATTTTATCAAAATGGTGAAGTCTTGACTTTACTTATAGGCTATAAAGCCAAGTTTTTTTTTTGGCAATTTTTTTTGGGTGCCAATATATTTTTTTTTTCAAAGTTAAGGTATATGGTTAAACTTTTAGAAGAAAAAAAAATATTTTTGAGTATAACTAGAATCTATTTTTCGGAAGCTAAAAAAGTAGTTTCTCCCAAAAGTGCTTTATATTGAGAAAGTACACTAAGAAACACATTTTGAAAGTTTGGCCAAACACTGATTGCTGCTCAATATTAGCCAAACACAAATTGCTTCTCACCAAAAGCACTTTTGAGAAACATACTTTTCAAAATAAGTTACTCTCTCTGTTACAATTTATGTGAACCTATATCCTTTTTAGTCTGTGTAAAAAAGAATAACCTCTTTCCATATTTGAAAATAATTTACCTTTATACAATAATATATAACCATACAAAATATATGTGTCTCATTTTACACCACAGGTTCAAAAGTCTTTTTTCTTTTCTTAAATTATGTACCAAGTCCAATAAATTCACATAAATTGAAACAAAAGAATTAGTAATTTTAGAAGCTCCGCCAAATAAGCTATTATTCTTTTCATATTAAATAATTTCTACAATTTCATTTTAATAGGTTTCCTACAAGGGGATTTGGTCGAAAGAATGAGGGAATGGTGAAAGGAGTTGTACGAAAACTAAACATAATGTCAAAGTAATCCTCAGACGTCCCGGCACGGCGACCCCATCGCTGCTTCCAACCATTAATACTGAAAATTTAGTACCCTACTACTTAAGAGTGTAAAGAAAACGCACTATACGCTGCTTGGCCAAGCTTCTCAAGAGGTCAAAAGTGTTTTTTTTTTCCTTCTCAAAATCACTTTTTTTTCCTAACTTGATGTGTTTGGCCAAACGTTTTTGGAGGAAAAAAGTGCTTTTAGGGAAGAAGCAGAAAAAAGTAACTTCTTCCCAGAAGCAGAAGCAGAAGCAAAAGCAAAAGCAAAAGCAGAAGCAGAAGCAGAGGCAGAAGCAGTTTTGACTCTTCTTCTTACAAAAAATACCCTTAACAAAATATAGTATATACCAAAATAACCGTTAAGCCATTAACTTAGGATATTAATGTATAAATATTTCTTATTATTTTTAGGATAGCTTTCTAATATACAGTGACTTTAGGGGTGAATGCTTTTATATTTGTTAAATAATTTTTAATATATTTAACTTATATTAAAAGAATTAAGTACTTTTAAATTTTATTTTCATATTTTACTTAAATAAAATAAAAAAATTTAATTATTGCCTGTAATAGTAAATTTTTAAGATTATTTATTTACTTATAATATTAACTATTAAGTAAATCTATTCATGTCCTTATTCGTAATTTGATACTTAAAACACTTTCTGAAAAATTTGTCCAAACATAAATTATTGCCCAAAAGTGCTTTTCAGAGTGGTTAGCCAAATACTAGTTGCTTCTCTCCAAAAGTACTTTTTTCGAAAGCACTTCTCAAAATAAGCTGATTTCTCCAGATTGGCCAAATAGGCTATAATCCACACAAGCAGGCGGAGCAAGCTTATTAGTTGTGTGTTTGGCCGAACCTACTCAGTTTTATTTAAATATTATATTTATATTAGTAAATTTATTAAATATATATAAAAATATTTAATTATGAACCAAGTAACTAAGACGAACTATAATTTCGTTACAAATTCAAAATACATAAACTTAAATCTTAGCTCCGCATCTGCGTAATCTAAACTTATAGTTGCATTGCTTTTCAATTTTTCATCCAAAACAAATATTTTTACACGTCACAAGCAGGGACAGATCTATATGGGAGGGGGTGGGTTCACGTGAACCCATGCTCTTTACCCCTAGATCATGTTTAATACTTGTATTTTGCTGATTTTATTCTTAAATAAGCATGTGTGAACCATGCACAAGTAAGCACTTTGGCTTAGTGGTCAATGATTGCACCTTCGCCCCCAAGGTTAAGGGATTGATCCATGCTTGCTTCGTAGACTTTTTAATTAAAAATACTTCTTTTTTTTCTTTTTTTAGAAGTACATAAAAAGATCTACATAATAGGATGAATGAAGAAGTTTTAATGATTTTTAGCTTGCTACATATAACCTAAGATATTTAAATCTATAAATAATGATGCTATTATTGATTGTTCTTACAGTATGAAAAGTCGTGGAGGACATAAATAATGCTAATAATATTAACTAGAGTTTGCTCGCCAAGGGTTATCGTAAAAATAATTATATTATCAAATCATATATTTATCTAATAATAGTGGTGCACCTACACTATTAAAATCTTAGATACGCCTGCGTCATAAGTATCCTGTAACTTAACAAAAGTTCAAAATTTTTTACCATAAACGCAGTGCTATAACTTCATTAAAACAAGCCACTCGTCGTAAACCATCTGATCCACCAAAAAACCTGCATTGTCAATAAGTTTAAAAGGGAATAGTTGGAATAGAATATTAGGGCCTTAAAATAAAAATTAGGGCCAATAAAGAAGTACTAACATATTTAGTATAGCAGCAGTCATATATAGGACGCACAAAAGTAGAAGCAGACTCGTCAAACGAAGTGAGCCACGTGACACTCTTTGTTACCATTGGCCACGTCTCTGCCAGACGTTTTTAAGATAATATAGAATATTGACGTCGACCTGCTCATATCACTTCCTAATCCTGTCACTAATTAAGATTTTGGTGCTCATTGCTGCACTAATTATACAGGAATCTTTCTTTAAAAAGATTAAAGATAAGTACCACAAGATAATAGAAATATGTTTCTGAAGTGTCTAACAATTTTTTGTGCAATAAAATAAAGTGTAATCCCATTTCTGCCCCTGAATTAGTGGTCTCTTTATCTTTGCTGTCGCTTTCTGATATGAGATTACTAAAACAAGATAAAAGTGAGGTTTTGCCCGGTCTTTTACTTTGTTTTGTTTACTGTTTTTGTGCTTTTCCTTTTTTTTCTTTTTTTGTGTGGATAATATAAGACTGATGGAAAGAGACATATGGAATAATTAGAGAACAATGATCAATATGGAAATATTGGGTTTCTGTGGTCAGAAAATGAAGATTGATACATCAACCCAAAAATAAAGATCCTTCATATCTTGGTTCTTCTATTTATGTATTTCTAGGAATCCAATTGCTTAATTTTTCTTCTTAAGATTGTTCTATCTTCATCCTCTTTCCTTTTTCAATCCTTGGGTTCTGGGCTTCTTTTGTGTTATTAGCAAATTCCCAATACCTTCATTAATTCTTTTCTAGCTGAATGTTTTTTTCTAAGATTTTCGAGCTATCACAGTTTTTGTTTGTACGTGTAGATTTTCACAGCTAGGGTTTTCCAGTCATTTGCAACTTTTTTTTGTGGCTGTGAAAACTTCAGTTTCTGAAATAGATTTCTTTTAGGGTTTTGAAGTTCTTAGCATTTATTTTGCAGATTTACTTTTTTCTTCCAACAATCTTTTGGCTTGTGAATTTCTTGGATATTCAGCTTTGCACTTCTCTTTAAGCTTTTGGATATCAGCTTCTTCTTTCACCGCTAGCTTTTCAGCTAATTAATTAGTAGCTAGCTATACCTTAATTTATTGGTAAATTTTCTTTCTTAATCTTGGACGAGTTTCTTTCATTTTAATTTTGAACTACTCCTAATTAGGAGCTTTTGCCATTGACTAAATTAATTGTGCAGAAAATAAAAATGGTGAGAGGAAAGGTACAAATGAAACGAATTGAGAATTTATCAAGCAGACAAGTAACCTTCTCAAAGCGCCGGAATGGACTTCTGAAGAAAGCTAACGAGCTATCTGTTCTTTGTGATGCTGAAGTTGCTTTGATCATTTTCTCACAGAAAGGACGACTCTACGATTTCGCTAGCTCCAAGTATTTTCCCCTTCTTATTTACATATCTTTACAATAATCAATCAATTGTTTTAACGGGTCCATCTTCGTCTCGTACTCGATCTATTCTCCTTTTTTCATTGAAAGAGAAAGTTCTCACTGTGTTCAATGTGTACGTTTTCTTATGCTTTTGCTTGCTAGTATTAATATTCTAATTTCGATGTTGTGATGAAGCTGTAAGGAGGCATGGACTTTGTGTACTTAGAAAGTACGATGACACTGTTCTTTTTAAGTTCGTCTAGTCATAACCTCGTGTGCATCAATTGCTTACTCAGTCCGTTTGCTACATCACGATTATTGTTTCATACTTGGATCAGGGACGTATCTAGGGTTCCACGGGGCACGTGAATCCACGATCCCCTCTCTAAATCATATATAATAATGTTATAGTTTTTCAAAAAATTTCAAATATATGTGTGTACATTCATGCTCAAAGTATTATATGACCTAATAATTATTAGGTGCATCTCTCTGGGTGAGGTTGTTAATTCAAATCTTATGTCAATCTTATTGTTTTTTTTTCTCTTTAGATTTAAATTGTAGTATTGCGTGTTGTGATCTAATGTTGTGATGCTGCAGATCGCGCATGGTCTTTTCATCATTTTATGCCAATCAAAGGCCTCTCTTATACGCACATTATCTTAATTTATTACCTTATGATATACACATTTCTTTTACATCTTGATGAAAGTTTCTTTGATGAGTGGAGTTGTTAGGTAAATGAGATTTTGTTTTTCCTTTGGGAACTTATTTTTGGGGGGTGGTTGGGGGTACGTCTCTTTTAATTGCTTTAAATCTTTTGGAGCAGTACGTATATATATCATATATGGTACATGTAATATTATTACTGCTTGTACTCCTATATATTCATCTTTTTATGTGTTAGGACACCCTCCTTATCGCTCGAGTACCCTCATTTCTTTGGGAACTAAATCCAACTAAAGTCTTGTTGATTGTGTCTGAGATAATTCTTTTTATCTTTCCCTTTTCAAGTGAAGTGATGCAACTATAAGAAAAACTAGCTACTATGGGAGAAGTAAACATAAATAAAGTTACCCTATGCAAGGATCTTATCATCTAACCTCGTCACTCCTGACTGATTCCAGCTCCATATTTCAGCTGCATCAGATAGGTATTTGGGACAAAAGGTAATCCGGCCGCAGATGATGACTAATAGGGATTAGATTGTGTAGTACCGCACAGTTTAAAGGCTGTCATTGATCATTTCCAGCACACGGTTGTATAATGATTAGAAGAACAATATATAGCAATATTGGGACCTTACTAGCAACTCAATTTTAATTTTAATGGTGTATAAAAGGTAGTCTGGTACACAAAGCATCTCGTGTTCGAGTATGGTCCCGGAATAGGCCGCATGTCAAGGGTTGTGATATAGACAGTGTATCAGTGGCTGTTTCCAGGGCTTGAACCCGTGATCTATAGGTCACACAGAGACAGCTTTACCGTTGCTCAAAGGCTAATGGCAGTGGATTCATAATATTTTTTGTTTCGACTCCTCCCATGAAGTAATATTTGTTTCTTCTTCATTTGATAGGCGGAGCAACACACTTAAGCTTTCATATATGAAAATTTTGTTCTTTGTTAAGTTTCCCCTAATTTATGACATAGTTTTGGTGAAAGCCTTACAATTACTTCATTTTGGGTGATTCAGCATGCAGAAGACAATTGAGAGATATCATGAACGTGCAAGAGAAACGATGGTGGACAACAGCACTGAACTCCAGCAATACATGGAGGTCAGTGTTCTTTTGAATTACTTCCATGGTTTTCTCTTATGTGCATCAAGCAGCTATTTGTGAGAAGCAAATATTGTTTGAGCTATAATGCTACTGTCAAATACTGTTGCTCTCATTACTCCTTCCCCCTTTGGGCGCCGGCCATTCCCTTTTTTTTTCTTGCTTAATTCATAGATTTAGTATAACAATATATGGAATAGGGCCTTAAATATTATAATTGCATACACATGAATATTGGATTTCATTTGTATCAAGCTATTTGTGTTTGATTGACAAATTATATGTGCAACTACTTTTGAAGCTATTATTTCAATATTGTTAGATGAAGAGGAATACTTGAGGAGATAAGAGGGTTATAGGAGAAGAGAAGACTTTGTCTTTTGGAAGAGAAGCTCTTCAACTTTTTTTAGTTTAAATGGCAAGTACGGACTAACCTAGGAGCTAAAGGAGAAATTTAGAACTACTTCTAAATAAAGCTAATCGTCTAGCAAACGCAAAACAGAATTCAGAGTTTTATGGATAAGATATCCTTCTAGAGACGTCAAAGAAGTTCTAGACAAAACTCAAACTTTATATAGTAAAGCACCTAGAAAATTTTAAATTACATTTACAACATCCCTAATCTCAATCTTCAAAAATCTTCAACTTGAGAGGCTCAATAATTTCATCCGCAACTTGATTAAGAGTTTTCACATACCTGAGCTCCACATCATTTTTGGGCAGTGTTTTTTTCGTTTTCACACATATAATTGCTCGCTCCGTTATCTAAATACCACGAATTACATGAATCCCTTTTGTCTTACCTTTTTTATGAGTTGACATTGGTTACAAATTACATCGATTTGTAATACCTTTTTTTCATTTCTTCTTGATGGTAACCGCGTCCTCTTTTTCTTCCTTATTCACGACCACCACTTCTAAATGAATCTTGACCTTTTCTCTTTATTGGAGTTGTTACTGTTGCTTCTTCCTCAACCATGACAAACACGTCCTTTATAGCTTTTTTTCACCTCCTATTATTCTTAAGGATCCCTTGGTTACAAGAAGTAGTTTTAGCTAGTGGCTCTTTGTGCGTCCTCTTGATCTTATTCTTCAAAGACTTGTAAAGAACCCTTTAATTTTTCTAACGTCGTAGAATCTAAATCTTTAGACTCCAAAATTGCACACACAATATAATTAAAAATTTAGGTGTTAAAGAACACATGATTTCTTCTAGCACATGGACAACTTCTACTTTCTCTCGGTTTCTTTTCTGTTGATTCACAACGAGGTCACTTTTAAACAATAATCCAAAAATGAATTATTTTCATTTTTAAAGTTTCAAAGTCAGCCTTTAGAGATTGAAACTTTACCTTTTTCACTTTATCAACTATTTAGAGAAAATATTGTATATCACTCTAGTTTCTTTTGGCCTTCTTAAATTGACATCATCCGAGCATTAGTGAATGAAAGTGAAAGCTTGCCAATAAGAGAATTTAACACTCATGGAAGAATCAACGGTAACAACTCTAACAATGAAGAAAAATCCAACAATCATTTAGAGACATGATCGCAGACAAGGAAGGGGGGAGGTGTCACGACCCAAAATCCCACCTTAAGGATCGTGATGATACCTAATCTCTCAAACTAGGTAAGCCGATCACTTACAACAGTTAAACCAATAAAACATGATATTATGAAGCAGAGAATATAAATGCGGAAATAAAGGTGATACGAGCTAACACGACGATAATCAAAACAAATCCCCAAGACTAGGTAGTACAGAGTCACGACCTCTAACCGAATACATAAAAATATCTCAAAATACAATAATGTTCGGATAGATAATTGACATTATAATTGTAAGGAAATGACTCCAAGGGATTACGATGATCAAATCATCTCTACCTCAAGTCCTAACGATCAAAGAAGCTCTCACTGCCTGGATCTGCTATCTCCAACACCTGGATCTGCAAAATATGTGCATAAGTATAATATGAGTACACCACAGTTGGTACCCAGTAAGTATCAAGACTAACCTCGGTGGAGTAGTGACGAGGTTCAAGTTAAAACACTCACTAATCAAATAACTTGTGCAAAATATCAAAGAAAAACCGGCATCAGGAAGAATAACAGAAGGCAATAACTGAAATCCCATTCGAATAAATGATAACCATTTAGAACAAATAAAAGTACAGTTTTGACAATAAGTCATCAAATAGAATCATATACACATGACATATCGTTCCCACATTATCATTCACCTTTGCTCGGAAAAGGCCTCATGCCAAAACATAAGTGACACTCGCACGGCAAAGACCCCGTGCCACAATATAAGTCACACTCGCACGACAAAGACCTCGTGCCACAATATAAGTCACACTCGCACAGTAAAGACCTCGTACCTTAACATATACCACAATCGTACGACAAAGACTTTGTGCCACCACGTATATCGTTCCCATGTCAGTTACCAATAACATGTTCAAAAGGTATTATCAAGATTCATTTAAAACAATACATGCTATCTTTCATTTTACTTTAATCTGTTATGTTTCTAATAACTCAACAGAATATGAGATAACAACTCCACGTAAGAAATTCCAATTTGGCAACCCAATCATCAAGTAATAACCGATACACAGATTAGCACATTAAAAACAACACAACAAATCACGTAAAAGGCATGACACACACAAGGAAGTCATAAGCACAAACAAGAAAGCCCCCTTTTCACCACTACACAAATATCATCAATAAAACGTCCCCAGACCATCACATATCATCCCCCACACAATCACCTCTATCTCACCGCATGCGCAACAATAAAGTAAAGGCCTGTCTTGTCTCGCCACACGTATTTAAATAATAATCCCACCTTGTCTTGCCACATGCTCAAACCCGATATAATCCGCCTTGTATTTCCACATGTGCAGTATCAATAATAACAATAACATGACAAAAACATCATGCAAATACTTGAACAATCCGCCCAACAAATACACATGTATCATAATCACAACACCACAACATGCCAACAATTATTATCAAGACATAAACTCACAATCTGCCAACGTAGTGCACAAGGACAAACTAATAAAGGAAATGCGGATGGTTGTTCAACATAAGAGCATGAATTCAACTAGCTCACATTAGCATCAATCTCACAAATGCCCAACTTTTCCAATTAAGAAATTACAATCCTAGAACATGATCTCTAGCATAGAACATAGGTTCAAGTAATTATCCATAGTGAAACACGTGTAGTACAGGGATATCTCAATCAAAACAAGGCAATAAAAGCAATGTCAGGTCAAATCCGGTCGTAAGGCACAGATACGTCTGTGTACACACTCATTACCTCGTGTATACATCGTTTACACATAATGCAAACAAGCAATTAAGCCAAATTATGAGGGGATATTCCCCCACACAAAGTTAGGTAATTACCTAAATTAGGCCAAATCAACACTCAAACATAGATTTTTTGTTAAAATTGACTTTCGCGCGGTCCAAATCTAACAAAAAATGACTTAATAATATCAAACAATACAAGAGAAACCAATTTCGATCAATAAAGTTAAGATCTTTACACAATTTCCTAAAAGTCAACAAAAGCCAACATCGGGCCCGCTCGGGCAAAACCCGAGTCGAAGGGTAGATCTTGACTACCCATAGTCCACGAGCCCAAATATGCTATTGATTTTCAAATCCGAGTACAATTCGACTCTCAAATCTCAATTTTTTATTTTTTAAAACATAGTAAAAGATCCCCAAAAATTCCTTTCAATTCCCATAAGTTTGATATTAAAACCCATAAGAAATCAAGTTAAAATATTGAAATTGAGTCAAAATCACTTACCCAATAGCTAGATGTTAAAATCATCTCCAAATATCGTCTCCCGCCAAGTCTTGGGTTCAAAATATAATAAAATAAGACCAAGTCAGGAAATAACCAACTATAAACAAGCTGCAAATGTCGTATTTGCGACCAAAGGTTCGCAAATGCGATCTCCGCAAATGAGACACAGGGATCGCAAAGCGAACCCTGTCAGCCCCAACAAATGTCACAAATGAAACACATTCTTCACAAATGGGAAGCCAGAACTATCACAAAAGCGACAATGCCATTGCAAATATGATAATCCCAGCCTAGGTGCATCTTCGCAAATGCCATCTTGATGTTCGCAAATGCAAACCTTCCAGCTCCCAGCCCACCTCGCAAATTTGATGACCTCTTCGAAAATGCGAGGTCCACAAATGCAGACATGGTCTCGCATTTTTGAGACCTGCAACATCAACACAAAAAACTAGCAAAATCGAATCTCACTCAAACACTCTGAAACGCGTCTGAAACTCTCCCGAGCACCCCGGGCTCCACACCAAACATCCACACAAGTACATAAATGATCTCGCTCGTGCACACATATCATCAAAATCACATATAAAACCACGAATCGAATACCAAAACACATCGAAATTTCCATGAAACTCAAGAACTTTTAAAACACAACCAAGCGTCTGATTCCTATCAAATCAACTCGGAATGACACCAAACTTTGTAGACAAGTTCCAAATATTAAAACGGACCTATTCGAAGTGAAAAAACCGAAAATCCAAACCTGGTAGCCACAGTCAACCCATGGTCAAACTTAGGAAATCTCAAAAACCTCAAAATTGCCAACTTTTGGCAAAAATAGCCAAATCAACCTAGGAACCTCCGAATAAAATTCCGACCATATGCTTAGTTGTAAAATCACCATACAAACGTATTGGAACAATCAAAATATCATTCCGGGATCATTTTTATAAAAGTCAAACCTCGGTCAATATTTCTAACTTAAGCTTCCAAGCTAAGAACCAAGCGTTCCCAATCAATCCAAACCAACTGTTTCTGCTAGTCACATAGTGACAAATACACACACAGGAAGCTTAAAAAGGGTAAACGGAGCTCAAATACACAAAATGACCGATCGGGTTGTTACATTCTCCCCCACTTAAACAAACGTTATTCTTTGAAT